GATAAAGTGCAGTTTATTTCACTAAAAGAGTCAGAAAAATCTTATTTCTCAAACTTATCACATAAATTCTCAACGAATCACAATAGTAAATTCTTGATATCCATTTTCATATGCTAATTTCAATTTAAATTCCATTTATTACTCCAGAAATTCATATAATGAGTATTTTTCTGCATTTTTTCGTGCAAACTCCATTATTAAAAACAATTTTAAGGGAAAAAAGGTTAAAACTTACAGTTTAAGGACTATTTAGTTCCTTTTTTCTTTTAAAAATGTTTCACAGAAAGGAAATTGTGCGCTTTTCTTATCAATAAGTGTCAATAACTTCAAAAAGAGGAGAAGACAGTGGAATAACTCCCTTTTGTACCTGGTTTTTGAGAGAGATTTCCTCGTGGACTGATTAAAAACCCCTTTTATGCCGATCAGCTCAAAAAGCTTATCTGTTCGATGCATTCAATGGTGTTTCTGAAGAGATTAACCTCGCCTGTCACGCCCGTGACGTGGCCATCGCCATATCGCGGCGGTGATGCACGATGTGCGAATGGGGGTTCTAATTTGGGGTGTCTTTTATTTATGATTTCGCCGCATAATTATGCTAATCAGAACATAGTCTGGAACATGCCGAAACTCGGCTACACCTCGTGCACGGATTTTGATTTACGGCCACCGTGATTTATCGAGCGACACCAAGACCGGCGCGAGTCTTTCGCCCCGCGACACCCGGAGGATGACGCAGTGTAACACGGGGAGAATGTTCGGCTGCATTGGCGCACGGAAAAATGAGTGACAATTCGCCAATTGCAAATTCAAATGCCACACGGCGCGGGATTTATATATGTATGAATTCAAGCAACCTCGGCCAAAACATATTGAGCTATAATTGTGTACAATTGAGCTTGTGGAAAATGTCAGGAGTTGTGTGTTTAATTGGTCTTATTTTCGCGTGTTTCACTTCCAGTCGCCCAGATCTCTTTATCTACGCCCGACTGACAATTGACCACAGCGAGGAATTCTGTGATTTATTCCACAATCTCCAGATTGGCGTGTTAATCAAAATTGCAATACAAACTGTGCGCGCGGCAATTTTTCATCTCGAGCAACACAAACCGCACAAACAGACACACTATTTTGGGGACGAAGGGTGAGCATTTGCATGATCATGGAAAAACACGTTCTTGGGAGTCATTAGTGGAAATTGTTACATGCTCAGTGGAGATAATTCCTCCGTGTTTGCACAGCGAACAGCATGAGAGACAAGCCTTGAAATTGCGGTTGATGGAATTGATGAAAAATACTCCGAATGAATATTGCATCGAGGCTCGAAATTTGAAACACCTTTTCTGAGCTAATTATCCTCTTGATTAATGATTTCAAGCTCCTTCCACCAGTGATCATCCATCTGCATTGTTTCACGCTTCTTTCCACCACATAGTTGAACTTTTCTCTCGCTCTCCTTTTGCCATCCAATTTGTTTCACTGCGAATATTCCTTGCTACTTCGCGCCCAAACCGTCGCATTGACGCCACGATTATGCAACCTCCTGAAGAAAGTCCGCCACGAGTTGACTTCTGGCGACGATTATTGCTAAAGTTTGCCCCCACGGCGAGCGCGCGGGGTGAGCGAGAGGGTGAAGCGCATTCGCGGGGGTTCAGTGGGTCCCATTGAATGGTGCAGAGGTGATTTATAAACGTCCCAAGTGCATATCATGCAAGAAGTTATTTCTTCTCTGTCGTGAAAATTCAAGTCAGGAAAGTACTCTGGGTCACGGCAGGATTATTACTCCAGATAAATATGTGATTTGCATAAAATTTTCCGCAAAAATTCGATCGCGTCGCCTTTTCCTTCCAGGGCGTCAGAGAAGGACTTTCGGCAACTTATTGCCACACGAAATGTCCTCGAGATCTCTCATTAAACCAAAATAATATACTCTTCAATGAAGAAAATAGTTTTCAAGAAAAAGGCCTTGAAATTAGCCTAAATCTACTAATTTTCAAGTCCTTTTCGGCTCTTGTGGTGCATTTCAAGATTTTCCATATGAATGGAGCTAATTTTCGCATAAAATTAATACCATTCTTGGCACAATTTCTAGTTTTTTTAGGGCATATAAATATGAAATAAGCTTTTTAAAGACTTATTGCAATTCTATTATTTTTTTTTGAAATCAGAAACAGCTAGAAAAAGACTAAATTTATCGTCGATTCATGGAGAAATTAGATTTAATTGTTGACCAGACTGAAATAAGACGTTTTTTCTGTACTTTTGCACTAAAAATCTTGATTTTAGTCATCTTTGATTAAAATCAAGACTTAAAACTCCATTAATCGGGTTTCAACTTGCTTATATTCTTGGATATACGTTGAAATCGACTTGATTTTGGTCCGATTTCGCTGGTAGTAAAAATCACTGTCTCATCATGTGAATGTTGTTTTTATTCTCGCAGCATTTCAGATGTTAATCTTGTGCTGCATTTAATATCCTCCGGAATAGGAGCAAAGATGCAGCGAGAGGAAATGAAAAATGCCAGGGAGAGGAAAAGGGGAAAAGGTGGAAAAGGGGGGGAATTGTGTGACCGCATCTCGCTGGGGATTTGGACTTGGCAATATTGTAATCTCCTCTATTGCTCGCCAGCATTTCCCACCTGGCGAATCCATGTGGTCTGGCGCGATAATCTGCCTCAATAATCTCGGCTGGGCGCCCCCCGGCCGCAGCGGGGATCCGCTCCCTCGCCGAGGACTCGCCGCGCCCCGGGGGGAGAGACAGCGAGTGATGCTCGCGATACTGCTGATGATGATGAGGTGCAGCCGCTGCTTCTGCAATTTCTGCCCGTGATTGCCAGGAGGGCGGGCGAGCGAGAGGCGAGCGAGAACACGGCCAGAAGAGGCTTCTGTTGCCGTATTGGCGGGAGGGAATAAATTAAAAAAAAATCAGCGAGATGCCATGGCGGAAAATGAAGTGAAACCATGGACGATAGTGAAGGCTGAAATGGTGATTGTGCAATGAGAATATGGATAGCATCCCGTTGATATTTACCATCTCGCCATTGCAGAACGCATTTTTATCCGCGCCAGCATTATTACAGCATTATGTTCACATCTTATTCCTCTCCTATTTCCGTAAACAAGTATCGAATAAGAAAGTGGGAAAAAAGTATGATTTTCAGTTTATGACGAATATGAATTGTGACACGATTTCTCCCGTTTTCTTTCAAACAGATCAATATTAGATAAAGAAAAAAAGGCAGTGAACACATTCTGCAGTTACAGCAGAGAAATATATTTTCATTGCACTTCCAAGAGTGATTGTAACCCAGTGAATTCTTCATAATCACAGCTGCTGCCTTCAATTCTTTTGTGAAATAATTCAATTAAAATTCCTCAGGCTTCACAGAAGCTCTCTTATGTTCCTATTAGACAAATATTTCGCAGCATTTCTCTCCAGATCATTTTCCACGTACAATTACTGGGCATATCTTTGCCTCATCTCGAGTCACTCACCACAAATCCACACTCTTTCCTCAACTGGCGGTCAATTAAAATCTCAACTCTTGGGCAGATTGAGAAAGCGCCATGAGTGGCACGAAATTGATTTCCACGTCCGAGAAAATCCTCTCACACTCTGAGTGTGATTATTTCCCGCCGGATTAAAGGACTTGGTCTTTGCGGGTGGGCAAAAAGCGTCGAGGCGAGGCGAGGAAGGCGCAAAAAAAAGGTCACCGAGACAATCGATATTTGATTTAATTTAGTGATAAAGTGAAGCCATTTATGTGGGAATCCGTCATCCCGGCGAATGGTGAGAAGGGGGTTGCTTTGCCTCCTATTATAAATTGTATTTTCATTTACAAAATGAACACACAGAGCGCCCAGATTGAAAGATGATACCGAGAGTGTATCCGGAGAAATAATTACCATCGAGGAGTCCCACGATAAATTATGATTGTATGCTGTGCGTGGCGAAGGCGAGAGTGTCTTTTTGGGCTCCCAGACTGACGATGGGGGATTCACTCCTCTAGTTTGGTGTTGGCGTTCACGCACGGTGTGGCCCGGACGTGAGACGCGGCGATAAATCCTGTGCAAGCACAATTAAATTACCATTTCGCACCTCAATTCCATCCTATTCAGCTGGAATTTCCCACACGCGAAAACCCAGGATTCTGCCAGCACCACGTCCTGGCCAGAGCGTGTCCACTGGCCACTCACTCCCTCGTCCAGTGAGTCTTGTTATTGTGTTCCAAACACCCAGAAAATGATTCACAGCGATTGAAATAAAATATTATTCAAATGACCCTCTTGTTTGGGTCTCTTTTTACCAACTCCACCATTCCGGGAGATTCACCTTCATCCTCCGCTGCCGAGAGAATAATGGCCACAAGAGGAAGAGCGAGATTGGAGGTGGATGAGATGCAAGAAAATCTCCTCTTTCATTGAGCTGTGTGGTCACTGCTTCGATGCCAATTGATTGATGATGGAGGGAAGAGAATTCAGAGATGTTGCAAAAGATTCCATCGCGCCCCACACAAAACAAACGCATCAAATGCAACTTAATTCTTCCGCTGCTGCGGCCATTTATGCAAAAATCGCCCAGTTTATCTCCGCAACACGGAGTGATGGTTCTAAATTAAATTTGCACTCTTTCTGTCGTCCATCGAGAAAATTGCCCGGCCACAGTTGAAGAAATGGAGGAGAGACGCCGCACCCAAATGAGAAATGGGATTGCATTGAAATTCTCCGCAGACACCGAAATTCTCTCCCCCTTTCGACGACCATTTGAAATTCCAATATAATACCTCGGCAAGTCTTGGCCAGAAGAACTTTTTCCCATCCAGAGAGACTCCACGGAATTATTTCATTTCTGCTCCACAATCAGACAGAATATTTCCCCTCTTTCTCCATCGGCATCGCAGATAAAACGCCGCGCATCGAACGCCACCAGAAAGGAAGCTGAAGAGCGGACGAAGAACATGAGACAGCAATGGGACAATTACAGTGGCAGATATATTCCCAAAAGGAGGCACATTAAATCACTTTGCTCGCCCATCAGCAGTACACCTTCATGTATTTCTTCAAACTCTTCCGGTAGAAGACAAAAATTATCTCGCTGGCCTTCGCGCACAACTCCTGCGCCTCATTGAACTGCTCCGCCGTGAAGTGTCCCTCCGTGTGCACGGCCACCGTGCGCCGTGACACGCTCTCGAAGGCAAACGTGAAGGTGGCCACGAAGCCGCCCTCCTCAGCCATCGTCCTCGCGTCAGGATCCAGCAGGAGCGCGCCGGAGGGACGCAGAGCGCAGTGCACGGCGGCCACGAGGAAGCGCATCTCAAGGCCGCTGTGCAGAAGTGACAGACACGACGCATTCACGGCGCACGCAATTAACTGCAAAATAGAGGAGAGAAAAGAAGCAATTAGTGGTGAGACTAATTGCACCCGCCGGCGACGTGGGAGTGAAAAATCCACCGTGCTCAAGGCAAGGGCGAAGCTTTGTTCGCCTGCGGTGTACGATGAATGGCTAAGATGTCATTGGCCAAGGTTATGGTTAGAATTTCTACAGATTAGAAACTAATTCTTATGCAGACCTGCATCTTGACATGTTTTTCTAGGTTATGCGTCTTATTTAACACTAAATAACAGCCTTTAAAAGACATTCTCACATAGCAAATGTAATTTTTTCCACATTATTAAGAGTTTTATTCTTTTGCGCTGAATAAAATTTGTGATTCCGAAAGCTGAGTGGTGAAAATCAGTGCTGAAGTCAAACATAACCTCAATTCCACTTACTTAACAGCTGTTCAAGGTACTATTTTGAGTTAGAAAGATTCTGACCAAGATTCTATGAGAAAATTCACTGTTATTCAAAGATTAAAAGAAAGAAAATCATGAAAATCTCAGATCAAGTTGTCAGTTAGATTTAAGTTTAGTTGCGATACAAATTTCACCAATTCCACCCTTTTTATCAATTTTTATCCTTGTCTGAGTGCATTTAATGTGTGCCAAGGTTAATTCTGAGGTGACAGAAAGTCCCTTTCTCCCCTTGTTTTGCATGCAATTAAATTGATTTACTCCCATCCATAAACCTTAATTCTAAAGTTCATAAAAAGGAATTTAATCGTCCTTTTAGCAGTTGATTCAATTAAGAGACGGCCATAAAGTTAACACCACAGCGATGTCATCCTGTCGCGCGCGCGCGCGGTGTACGCTTTCGCCGTGAGCTGCACCTGCCCGTGGCGCTGGTCATATTGCACCAGCGCAGCCCGCGGAGTCCAATAATGAGAAGAAAGAGAGACAAAACACCGGGGAGAATTAATGTCATCTTGTTGAACACAGTGCGAGTCTCTCTCTGCCCATCTCTTGTGCGCTAATCGATCGGACACAGGAACTCTTCTGTCCACTCTGTGTGTGCGCGAAAAATGGCAATGAGAATAATTGCTTCTGACCTGTACAAGATTCTTGAGTTGCAACATGCAGATTAAGGCACGCCTTTCCTCTCCCTTCCGCCGAGCACCGCTCATGTGTCTCTTATCGGGCAATTAATACCCCTGCGCAGGTGTTGAGAGAGGGATTAAAGTGCTCTCTCAACCCTTCTCCAAATGTGGCCGTCTTTCACGCACGCTGAGCATGAAATGCGCCACTCAAACACTCCCAAAATTCACTCCACAACGGAATAATATATATTTTAATTTGCCATCCATTAGATATCGCGTACAAAAGTGCTAATTCACTGGAATATAAATATATAATATGGCAAAGAACTCACTTCGTCGCTCTCACTTTAGCACCGCAATTGTTGAGATAAGAGAATCTTCACTTTTCCCCCCTTTTTCGCGCGCGCGCGCCTTTTTATCTCATTCACCCAAAGGAGAGTTCAATGATTCATCCAACATGGCATGAAAAAAAGAATTGTCTTATCTCCTCGATGGCGTATTAATTGAAAGGCAAAATGCAGAATTGAGCACTTGGCATTTTGTGTGTTCTCTTTGAGTATTTAAGAGAGGAAAATATCAAGAAAATGCAAATCAGATTCCACTGCAATTGCATAGATAAAATTGTCCATTTGATAAATTGATCAATCATCGATGCAAGAGAATGTTTCTGTGTTAATGCTTCACCTCAAGATCATGATCATTTGAGTGTTATTTGCATACAAATCGATTTGTCTCTCTGGATTAATTGAAAATAAAAACAGCCAGTGGAAGAAAAGTTACTTCAACTTGACAATTTCTTTCTTTTTCACTCTTTTTTTCAGGAGAATGAAACGCGAGATCATAATCGGTCCATTTTGCGATCACTAAATTATAATAACAGTCCAATTATTGGCAATTGTGTGACATTTTCCATCTGTTGTGTATCAAAAACATCAATTAAATTACTTGAGGATAATTGACAAAATTTACAGCCATTCTTCGAGAGTCTCTGGCGATTATTTTGCATCGAAGGCGCGCACAGAGGCTCATAAAAACGGGTGGAATCCCCATTAAACTACCGGGCAAATCTATTGGCGTGGAAAAAGTCAGTGAATTTAGCCTTTTTCCCGCCGGTGGCGAGAGAAGAAGACTCTCTGGACGCGGATTGGGACAGAAAAAGAGGTGCGCAGCGTGTTTGCAGCTCATTTTGCCACCACCTTAATTGCAATTCGAGCGCAAACGATTGACTCAATCTTGATCTGAGCGCTTTGAGCTAATTAACAAAATGCTGAAGGCGCTGCATCGCCAGACTCTCTTTCTGTGCGCTTTTCTCTGGTGCAATTTTTTCCTTCCTCTCTTTTTCTCTCTCTCTGATATCAAATGCGCTAGTTTATTGACTTGCGCAGCCCATTTCCAACCTATCGCTGAATCGCGGCGGCGCAGTGGCCGCGCGAGAGATCACAGAGAATGGGGAAAACAGGGAGCAACGCAGAGACTGGAAGCAAATTGCCATTTGTCAGAGCGAAAAACAGCGTCTTCAGCCTCCCTTTCCACCTGAAGCAGATTGCCTCAGGTGGGCCACAGAGCGTCTTTGGGTGGATAATTACCCCGGCACGATCTTCCATTTCCTGCAATTGCAGTGAAATTGCTGTGCGCGGATAGAGCGCTGTGAGAAGTGCCGATTCGCAGGTATTCCTGATGTACTGCTCACGGAATCGGTCTCCCACGCTCTGCTGACCACTCTTGCTCTTGTAGTACACCTCCACGCTCGATTTGTCGTACTGCAGATTCTGCAATTTCACCTCGACAGGACCGTGGACGGAGGAAAGCACAGCCGTTTCACCTGAAACCATTTGAACGCCCATTAACCACCAGTCGCTAGATGGCGATAGCACCGCATCAGAGTGACCGGTGAAGAAGAATGTGTATTGGATAAATGCGGTGAACGAAGAGAGGAAATTATCCATTTTCCCAGCATTTTCCTCACAAATTCAGCATTTACATACCTTGAGCGAAAAGCGCAGAACCATCAGATCGCGATAAAACGTCCAATTCACACCGCATTGGCCTCAATTCGAGGAAATTATGCTCACTATCGTCTTCCATTATTTACTTCAATATTTCACAAAATTTGATAGATTCTCTCGAAATTCCACTCTTTTACTATTCTACTATCAATATCACACCTTTTGCAAGATAGAATGTCAAGAATTCTCCGGAATTTCCCCAATAAACACGAGAAAACTTGTTTGTTTACATTTTACACAAGAGAGCACGTTTATTTGACAATTCTCTCTCGCGCGCTCTCTCGCCGCAATTCGCTGAACTCAGCGATTTTTCGCTCTGACTTCAAACATTCAAATATTCAACGTCCTCTTCCCACCTTAAAGTCTAAAAACAATTCTAACACTCTTCTAAAGAACATAAAATCTATTTTCTACTTTCATTAGCATCTTTTTACATCATTTGCGATTATTTTGTTCCCTTGGGAGTAGCTTTTCTCTGTGTTTTCTGCCTCATTTGGGAATTGCCATTGGAACGTCGTTAAACACCACATGACTGTACTTCTCAGTGAGAGTTTTCCGCAGCAACTCAGAGTGAGCCCAATCGCTGGTCTCACAGACCACTTTCACCTCCACACTGTAGATATCCCTTAGCCAGGCTCTCTCGTGCATTATGTCCTTTATGGACACTCCCAGAGCGGCCAGTTCGCGACACAGCTCAGAAATTCCTCCCGGACGATCACTCACGGTGACGCAGAAGCGAAGGAGACGTCCTTCTGCTGCCAAACCACGTTCCAGACACCGCCCAAAGATTGTGGTGTCGATATTGCCGCCGCACAGGAGAAGAACAACCCTTGAAATGGGAGAAAAATCATGGTTAAAATGGATGAAATCATTGAAGAATTCCACACTGACTTTTTGCCTTTGTACTCATCGAGATGTCCTGAGAAAATGGCTGCCAATCCTGCAGCTCCAGCTCCCTCCACAACGCACTTCTCCTGCTCCACCAGACGCAGTATGGCCAGGGCGATCCACTCTTCGCGCACCACAACCATTTTGTCCAGCAGCGGCACTGCGGTGGCGAAGGCGTTGTAGCCCACCGTGGGAACAGCCAAGCCGTCAGCCAGAGTGGCCATGTTGGGCGTCAGGATGGGGCCGCCGTGCTCCAGGGCGCGCGAAAAGCTGGGACACTTGTCCGATTCCACGCCGATGATCTTCGTCATGGGTGAGATCGCCTTGATGGCTGTTGCCACGCCAGCAATCAATCCTCCGCCGCCCACGGGAACAACCACGGCGTCCGGCTGACCCACTTGCTCAATGATCTCCAACCCAATCGTGCCCTGGCCGGCCATTATGTGCGGATGATCGTAGCCATTGACGTAAGTGAAGCCACGCCGCTTGGCGATGGTCATGGCGATCTTCTTGGCCTCGGACATGTTGTCGCCCTGCGCACGAAGACATTCTCAGCATTAGCTTTTCCCGGCGTCTCTTGCAGGGCTGTAAAACTTTACCTTGACGATCACGTTGGCACCATAACTGCGACACTTCTGGATCTTCATGATGGGCGCCGCTGTCGGCATAACGACCGTCACGGGAATCCCCAGGCGATTGGCATGGTAACTGAGGCCCTGCGCGTGATTGCCCAGGGACGCAGAGATAACGCCGGTGCGTTTCTGCTGGTCAGACAGCATCAGGAGTGCGTAGCGAGCGCCGCGCTCCTTGAAGCTGCGAAAGAACAGATAAGTCACGTCGTATTTTTAGCCACTCGAGTGAGGCGTAATAAATCTGAAGTCGAGATATCACAGATGATTTACACTATCATCAACTCGTGGGGTGATAATTGATTAATTACACGCCTGATTAGCGCAACAATTCCTCGAAATTTCACGCGGAAGCTATAATTTTATGGGCATTAGTTTCGCGTTAAAGATATTGCGTACCAACCTTCCAGTGAACTGGAGGAATTCCTTCTTGAGATACAGATCCATTCCAGTCATCTCCGACAAATGCGATCTCTGCCAAAAACACAGGTTAAGAAACCCTTCTCTAAACCTCACATTAAGTCAAGAGGATAATCTCACCAGACAAGGTGTGTTCTGGACGCCACTCTTGATGAGAAAGGCAGCCGATGTGATGTCCTGAAAGCTAATCTTCACCGGATTGTCGGCAACACAGTAGGGATCCTCCACATCCTCGATAATCTCAAAGTCCTCGTCCGTGAACTCAATGTGTTCAGTGCCGTTGATGCCATTTGTGCCATTTGTGTGTCCATTCGTGAGCTGAATCGCCTTCTTCGCCGCAATAATGTCACCGTTCTCCAGTTGCGTGCACGAAGTCATCGCGAATGCTGCGAGAGTTCAAGTGGAAAAATATGTATGCAATTATCTCTGGAATTTCTCACGCCCATTTACATAATAAATTGAGAAATGCAGTATCAATTATCTCTGGAGCATTTTTAGCCGCGCGTCTCAAGTGTTAAACAGTCGGCGAATGATAAGGAGCTGCAATGGAATTGAGTTCAACAGTCCAGAAACGTGAGGATGCACATTGACTTGTGTTCCTTGTGTTGTCAGGATTCAATGAAGTGACATTTTGGTAGAGAGAAATCATTGAGAGACAAAAGAGAGGAAAAAGTGTTGATAAAACTTGTCACTCGTAAACATGTTTTTGATGGCTCAATTGAACGATCACTGGCTCCTTATCACGACCAATTTAGGTCTTTTTTGCCACCACTGAGAACGGTAAATAATAAATTAACTTATCACTGTAATATTTGAGTTTATTTCTTACTGTTGAAGAAATTTCTGCACACTGAACTCCTCTTTCCTTTGCGACTGTCTCCACTGAAAGATCACCAACAAGTGACTCTCGGCCGCTCGCTTGACGCTTTAAAGTGCGGATTTTCGAGCATGCGATCATCTCTGTTTACAACCGCTCTTATCACTTCGCCACCAGACGTAATAGCAAGATAGGAAGAGCCGAAGAAGACCCCAAAAAAGGCGTGTGCGAAACAGCTGTGCCACGGCAGAGAAGCGTTTGATTTATCATTAGGTGCTCCCAGTGATAATGACAGACGTGCTGTGCGACGCTGTTAACCCCTTGAATCATTGCTTTGCAATTTCCCGTGTTGATTTTCACATGTGAAGAAACCCAATTAGTGACTCTGAATGTGAGAATTTTGTTTTTCTCTTACACTCGATGTTGTGGCGATGAGAAAATGCGTAAAATTCTGAGCATGAAGTTAAATATATTATCATAATTTTATATCCTTTATTTATCCTCTCTCTTCCCCTTCTTCATCTATACAATTGGTTGGTAATCTGAAAAAATATGTCATTTAATATTTTCCAATAGAGATTTTACTTTTTCACACAATAATATTTTTTTTCTTCTTCAATTTAAGTTCGTCCAGTGAAAAATTTTCTTCTTTTTTTCCAAAGAGAAAAACAACAAACAAATAAAGATAAATTTACTATCTGAATAACTCTGTTGTCTATTGATGATCAACTTTGGATTTGATTTATAAGAAAATTCTTTCTCTAATTGCCATCTTTTGCCTTATTTTCTGTTGTCAACCTGTTGTTATTATGCTCTAAATTGTATACAATTGAGTTTAATCAATTTGTTTTTGTATTAATCTGTCCACAATATATCGTAACAATGCATTTTTTATATGTCATAATCTCTTTAAAATGAAATTTTGATGGTCTTTGGCCCCCCGAAAATCACAAAACCAAAACAATAAACGCTTCTTCAGCAGATCATTCAATAAAACAATATAGCAAAGAAAGACAGAGTGATTATCGTGCTTTTTTTGCCTACAAACAGTTGTAAAACTCATATTTGATAAAATATTCTCATTATCACGAAGCTCAAGAAAGGTTTGTTTTTTTGTTTTGAGAAAATCAGGACATTAACAGAGAATCAAATAAGCATATTTTGCAACAGTTGTATTTATATTGTACATAGATATTTAATTTCTCCTCTTCTTCTTCTCTTTTATATAATATTTATATATGTAATTGTATTTTCTTCTCATCATCTATAACTCTCAATATTTCTCTTTCTCTCCTTATTTAGAAGTTTACTTAGAGTCAATACTGCGTCTGTGTGTCAATAAACAAAGTGTTATGTTTTTTTTCTCTGTGTGATGGTAAAGAGAAAAATAAACTTTTCTAAGACATTTTAAGAAAATATATGTATTCTAAATAAACTACAAAACGTGGTTGTGAAACAATGTTTTGGCTAAATTTATGTACTCTTTTAGTTTAATCTTTTGTGTTCTTGTTTCATGTTTTTCATACTTATATAGGGATTTTAATATAATTTTATGGTTGCAATGTGAAAAGCTCTCTTTTCATGCTGAAACTTCCGTTTTTCCACCTCCTCTTTCCCTCATTTTGGCTGGTTTGTCATCCCTTCACTCTCACTCTTTCCATAGCGAAATAATACATAACACATCAAAGATACTTCATTCTTTCCCTTCTGGATATAATGTTTCAATATGTGTGTGTCTCTCTTCTAATTGTCAATGATAATAAATAGATTTTTCTTTTACTCTTCATCTGAAGATCTTCTCTCACCACTACCCAGGTATAATTCTATTAATTGTTGTATAATAATTAAATTTAATAGACTTCATAATAAGATTCTCCTCTTGTCCCTCTTCTAAAAATATTTCTCTGTCTAATGTTAGAGATCGAATCTATACTTTTAAAAATCATCATTTTCACTGCTGATAGTTGTCAAATGGAGACTCAACTTCTTCTTCTTTGTCACTTTACACAGTATTTTTTTTCACTTCACTTCGGGCGCTTTTTCAGCCCCATTTTCTCGCTGGTTGTTTTAAGAAAGAACAGTGGTATTTATGCTACATATGTATGTTTATAATAGTGTATATAAATATAATAATTATACAATTTTTCATCTTCTCCCACTTCATTATGTATAAGTCATATTATAAGTAGATAATATGATTTTCTTTAATAGCTGAAGAATTACTGTCTGTGGTGGACTTTGGACATTGAACTGCACATTTTTTTTCATCTCCTCTCATCATTCTACATTTTTTTTAATGTGTGTAATGGATTTTTTTCTCTACTTTTTCACTCACTACTTGTAAATTAGTTTTATTCTTTACTCACGATCTAAAAGTAAACTTTCATTTTCTTCCCACCTCATGATCTACTTTATGTGCGCAAGAATTATTCCCTCTCATGAATTCTCTATATTTTTGTCCACTTTTTAGCACACAAATTGATTTTTTTGAAATACTTTTACTTTCTCTCTTAAGTTTTTTTTTTGGTTGTTTTTCACAGATATTCACATTTCTATCCTCCCTCAGATTTTTTTTTCTTTAATAAATTAGTAAATGAGCCAACAGCAAGTGGTCTACAATCATCAACATTTAGCTTTTGCAACATCATCCCCATGTGATTGAAGTGACTTCAAAAGGTACTTTATACTCATTGTATGGATTAAAGAGGTCTAGTAAAAGACTGTGTGTCACAGAGAAATGCACCATTTGGAGAAAAGTCAGAATTTTGTTGGTTTTCATCTGCTTCATAATTGGAAAAAAGAAACTACGACTGAAGGTTTTTTTTTTCTTTTTGCAGGGAAAAAATAAATCCACAGCCTCTCAGTAAACATAAAACTCCTTTACATTTTGCGTTCTTCATGAGCTTTCTTCACGATCGCCAGCTTTGAGTGAGGAGATCCGGGAACCAGAGTCCTGTACGGAGCCTCCTTCGTGCCGTGCAGCACCAGAGACCACTCCTTGATGAATCCAATCCGAGGCTGTTGCGAGTTGAAGCGAGCCTGCAAGAAAGTGACGCTCTGTTAGAAAAAGTACTCTTCAACTTCCCCCAGAATTTCAGCTCAACCTCAAGGATCCAAGTGCCTTGCGGATATTCTCCCCAGGTGTGTGTCGTCATGAAGGGCCACTTTGTGAAGCCATCCCTGTGGTCATCATCATTTTTCCTGCGACTCAGTATCATTGACCTGCGAGAGACACAAGAAATGCATTCAGAAAAAGTCTGCAATTCAAATTCTCCGCACCAGCTCACCTTGTTCCCATGGGAGACGTGAGGAAGAACTCCAGATCACCTCTTCGAGTGCTGTTGGCCGTGATGACCGCCTGAACGTGCTCCAAGTAATTCACCTCTGTGTCCGATCCAGCGCACGCATTTGTATTGACCTTCAGGTAGAGCGACGCTCCATTGCTGGGGATTCTCATGGGCTCCAGAATGGCGCCGGCTTCGCAGTGATACCGCGGCGGGCAAGTGCGCCACTGTCTGGCCAGCGTGACCATTGAGCCAGCATCGAGAACGCCAAAGCCAAAGAGATGATTAAATTCCAGTCCGACGCCATTCATGGTCCAGTGGAAGCGATTCTTGGCATCAAAGAGGGAATTCCTCTTGGAAGTCAGCACTGTGATGTGCTGAACATCTCGCCAAGTGAGAATTGGACTGGGTGAAAGAGGGTGGCAAATTAGCAAATAAACTATAATGCATATTAATCACATACTTCGCTTCCAGAGCGAGGGCAAAGACCCCAGCGGCTTCCGGAGCCGCAGCACTGGTGCCAGAGTGAGTGGTCGTGCACTTCCCGTACAAATCTGTCGTGGCCACGCCAGTGTTGGGATCCTTCGCTCCATTGCTGAAGGTGCTGGCCAGCGTAGAGCTACAACTCTCGTCGTAGTGGGCGTTCTGACCGTCATTTATGGCACTGTTTATCGAAATGGTCCACATGGAAGCGGCATATCCCTGTTGGAAGAGCACACAAGCGAGCGCCATGTGAATAATAAGCGTGGGAGTCGAGAATTCTTCACGTGCCACGTGAGAATCTTTGAAAAGGGGAAGTCAAGTTGTTCTGGGCCTCAAGAGGACTATTGTGGATGAAAAATTCAACGGAACTTCTTCTCCTAGAAAATTACAAACTTTTCCGGGGAAGTTCAGGAGAAAAATTTATTAATGTTTCAGTGCCTGAAGCTATGAATTTCTCGCAAAAACATCTCTTCTGGGAAAGCTCTAATTAAACTGGCCTCAACTCAATGAAAAGGTCACATTTTAAGCATTTTATTCAAATCTCGTATGGAATTAAACACAAACTCTGCGCTCTCGAGTACAATTTGTGCGGTGAAAGTTGTGAATTTCCATTCGGAATAAATCTAATTTTGCCCCTAATGAAATTTTCACCGCCTTTCCTGTGACGACCCAGGAAAATGTAACTCTGTAAAATACTCACGTCACAGTTGCAGTCGTCCTCCTCGCCACCATCGCCAGATGCCCACACATAGATGTTACCCAGTCCATTGCGACCCTGCGTGACACATTCCCACATTAGTGTTTGTCACTCAAGCCACCCTCCCGGCAAAGCTGGATGCTCACCTCATTCACACCCTGCACTATGGCACGCATCGTGGCATTCCGCGGTCCGTCCACCGTTTTGCCGTCATCCGTGGGGCCCCAGGAGGCGCTGTAGATGTGTATCTTGTGCGGCTCGTGTCCCATGGAGTTTGCCTCGATGAGATCTGTCATGTAGGGCTGGTCCAGCATCCGGATGCCCGCAATTTTCGAGTCATATGCAACGCCAACTCCACAGATTCCATTATCACGGGCAGCGGCAACCTCGCCGGCACATCTGGTGCCGTGACTGAAAGATAAAGAAACGGTTTTCAGTCGATTTCAGTGATGGTTATTGAAATATTATAACTTAAATATTGGGAGAAACTCAAGATATTGAAGTACAAAATGTCGATTTTTGACAGAGTTCATGAAAATCAACATTTACAAGATTTATAACGGCAATAATTAAATTTCTTTCTGCAAATAACGAATATATGACGTGCGTTTTCAAATAGAATTTACGATTCGAATTATCTTTCATGTCTTTTATTGATTTTCTTCAGATTTATAAATTTCCGCCAGGATGTTGTTTATTTCATTTCATGTTGTTGTTGATTTAAAGTAGATTCATGGATGCAAAACAATTTAAAAGATTCATAGATTTCTTTCATTTATCATCTATCCAAAAATAGGCCAACAAGCAAGACGATTTTTAATAATTTTTGGGGCACTTATCGAAATACTCTCAGTTGCTTTTCACCCAACTGACATCTTTCCTCTTGCAAGGAAAATAGTGAGCATCATTCTGAGAAGACGAAGACAGATAATGTCAACGGTACATGTTATAATAAATATAATAATATCGCCACAAATTGGATATCTCCACTCAGTGGTGGTTGAAAACACAGGCGTAGAAATGCTGAAGGGTGAAAAATGCGATGAAGAGTTCTAGTGTTTCTTTTAACGTCAAAGAAGACCATTTTGCCCACAGGTATTGACGTCAACCGACACACGGAGAATCGGTAAAAGTTGTTTTGACGAGCACTTGGCAATATATGGAGCTCGTCAAGATCATTTCCCGGACAAAGTTGACACGTGCACGAGGAAGATATTAATGTCTCATGTGAAGGTATTTCACCTAATATATTTTACGCCCCCGGTGGTGAAATGTCGGGCAAAAGATACCGAGGAATATGTGATAATTTTTGGGAATTAAGATTTTCGTGATGTCGAGAAGTTTTGCGTACAGGCAAAATAACGTACAGAGATAATTTGTCATTTAAATTTCTTGACATCGTTCCATAACATTTAGTCACGTAATTAAACACCCAAATGACATTCACGTGTCTCAGTGGTTGAATTCGCGATGGCAATTAGAGACAGAACGACTCAAAGACCCACTTGAACCATTAATTACTCTTCGTCTGCTAATGTTGCCGAAAGATATTGCTGTTCTCTCTTCATTGTAATAATTTCAACGATTTTTCTCCACACTATATATAACGAGGATTTTAAGCAATATATATACAAGAGCTTCTTTGTGGTTTCTCGCATGAAATCAATTCCGAAGAAGAGTTTTAAGACAAAAGCAAACTCTGCAAAAAGCCACGAGGCAGAAATGTTATCAGAAACTTATGTTTCATCTTCCTATATATGTAAATACCCAGAGATAAAATTGTATCAGGGTCGTCTCTCTGTGTGAGATTATACCAATTTGACTCCACTAAAAGTTTGCTATTCTACTCAACATTCTCCCATGAGTTTAGTTCCCGCTGATGGTGAGAGGGAAACTTTCCTCGCAATTATTTAATTACAACCCAGCAAGAGAAGGGTTTTACTTGTGATCTCCTCAGCTATTTCATGCTATGTTGGAGATTCTCTCTGTTTGCGTGGACTTGATTAGGTGTGTGTGTGAATGTGAGGAATTTAATTTTTCACCATCAACCATTTTTACGACGCCACAAAAGAGCCCACGAATTAATTGACTAAACTCACTCTTTTGCCAGTGACACCCTTTGATGCCATTGTTGAGTTTAATGGGTGACGAAATGAAAAAAAGAGTATGTTTCTTCCTCCATTCGAAATCACTGGCCTGTCCTTTTGCAAACACAGAATCCAGCTGGGGAACAGGAGGAGAAAGGCTTGAAGAGGACACAGAGGGAGAAAGTCGTAAAGAAAATTTAATTGCATCGCCGTGATTGTCGAACGCAAAGAGGGTTGGGGGGGTGAAGTGGTTAAGGCGAGCGCGTCTCTCGGGTGTTGCAGATCCAATTCAGAGGAGTCAATTGTGAAATGGGGAGCAAGCTATTCCATGAAAACGTGCCTCCATTATCCTTCATATCTTTCACGTAATTTAATCAGCCTCTGGCTGCGCCACTCTCTCTCTCGCCCTCAAATGCCTTCAAAGGTCGATGGAACGGGGCAAATATCAATCTAAATTGACACACTCTCTCTCAATTAATATTTTTACCCCCACTCTGACGGGGGGATGGGTGGAAAAATCTATTTAGAAATGGTTGGAAATCGTAAATAGCGAAGAGTATTGATTGCCAGTGAGCAGTTGTAAAAATATTCCCAGTTGAAAGGTTCGGAGAGTGGCAAAAAGCGAATTGCCCCCAGTGTTAATTGCCCTCTAGTGCCTCTAATAAAGGAATAAAAGTAGTGAGTGCTCAGTATTTAATAATGAATATAACCCACGGAAGTGCACGACCACTCGAAATGGAATATCCAATAAATTTGTATAATTTCTGCGCAATTTCCAGGGGATTTATCTGCTATTACGAATGTATGACGTCAGCGTAAGTGCCACTAAACCACCAATAATCCTCACAGTTTTCCTCACCCAAGATTTAATATCACTGGCATGTCTGAAGTGCCCATATTTCTCCGAAAATTCAGCCCTCACCCAAAAGAAAAACCGAACTTTCACAATGAAAATCCGCGTCATAAATTTTTGGAGAAAATTGTGAAGGCATAAATTTTAATAGCTTCGCCTCTGTCCTCAACTTCTCAATGAGTATTTATCAAGTGTAAATTTCCCGATGGAAAGTCACATCGCATTGGTCGCGACAGAAGCGTGTCGACCAGACGATGAGGCCATGCGGAAAATTGGAAAATCACTAGATATAGAAGTGTGAATGCCTCGAAAGATTGCCATTATTCTCGAGTTATAAAGAAAGTATTTCATATTTTTCCTCTTTACGCTTTTGCAGAGGTTTACTTTGTTGGTCACAATGTCAGAAAAAGGAATCTTAGATTATGTAATATGAGTTACGGCCTTCGTCACTGTTGCTGACTGTTTTAATTGTTCAGCATATGTTGCTAATAATCACTCATTTCCATCTCGGCCACTCGTTTCGACCCACGGTCTGTGGGTCACGTTGAATTGCACGGCAATGCTTAAGCCCAGATTAAATTCCCGAAGCAATTATTTGGCTACATTGCTCTCTGGGGGAGCAAAAATGCCCCAGAATCTGAGCGCCTTTGGCACGTGATCAGCCATTAAAGGCATATTCAGTCACACTTCTCTATCATATTCGTCAATGCCTGAATTATTTTCCCATCTAAGAAGAGAATGAGTCTAGTAAATACCCATAGAAGTGATTTAATAAAGTCTTTATGTGTGTCTTTTTCGCATAGCCACCCACCCTCGTCATTATTGTCAGTTATAAAACCACAAGTGGAGCAATAAAAGCGCCCCGCATGGGAAGCGCGACGGATGAGGAGAGCCGACATTTTCCAAAGAGCGCGCGTACGCATATGTCAAGACTGAGAAATATCCTTCTTCAATATTGAAGAGTTCTTATCCTCTGCCATCTTTTCCGTGAAAAACCACATCTTGCGCCCACAGTGGCTGCGAAAGTTGGCTCGAGGGCAGGAAAAAGCAGTGGTGGAATGATTGAATAAATAATATCACATTCAATCCATCATGCGCCGGAGCCCGAAGCCACGGGAGCGCAAGGGGAAATATTTAAATCACAAAAATATCTCACCTGTTGAACCAGTCGTCCGTGTAGCGTGGGTAGGGATATGGATCATTGCTGCTGAAATCGTAACTAGCTTCTGCATTCTGCAAAGACAGGATAAATATTCGTCAGATTATCCAGCCAGCTCAAACGAAAGCCCTTTGCAAGTTACTCAAAGTGTAATTATTTAATGTATTGCAAATCTCTCTCTCTCTCTCGGAGAAGCGGCAGCAGCGGAGGAAGTGAGTGGAGACGCCCACGGAGAGACTACATAAATTATGATATAGCTAACATCCATTTTATCACGGGTATCAGGCACACGGTGAAAGGTATTTGGATAATATTGTTGCTTATCTTCTCTCTCTCGCACAGATGATTGATTGATTGTGATTAAACACAATCATTCTATCGATGAGGTGTGGTTTCGATACGACTAGGTGCGCCTAGTACCAGGCGTCTCCATCTCACTGCCTCAACGCCTCAGCGTTCAATTGATTTATCAGACCTTCCTTCTTTTCCTGCCAGCTTTACGTGAAAAAATCCACCATAAAATGTGGCTCGTGGGGCTTTTTTTCCCTGACTCATTTGTTACTCTAACTAAAGCTCACAATAATCCTTGGAGCATATAAATTTTCGGGCGTCTCTTGAGAGGGATTCACGCGAACGTAAGTACTAAGCAATTCTCCTCAAAGAATGTATACAAATAATTTTCAATTTATTGACAAATTCCACCCAATTGTTCCGCTCAAAATTTTATCGGCAAATTTCTAACATATCAGAATGTTATAAAAAATAGTGATGACACTTAATTTCCGCTCTATTTCGCAATGAATTTGCAACTTACGCCGCAATTCAATCGAAATGTGCTTTACACGATGTGCAATACATGTTTACTATGAATGTGGACATTCCAATTAAACATTCGAGAGAGAGAGAGAGAGAGAGAGATTCTGAAATACAAATTCAATTATGCTGCATCACTTATACTCACATAATTGTATTTCAGATCCGGATGCATGTAATCCACACCTGCAAATATAAGTCACACCATCGTCATTAATTAATGCTTGGCAACTGACAGTGAAGTGTGGAAATTTAAATCTGTCATCCAATGTATATTTGCATAAAGACATCGACTTTTCCACCCACGAAAAGACGTCAGAACCCTTCAGATGTAATCAGTATTTATCGGGTTCTCAGTGTTATTGACAGTTCTCATCCATTGGATACAATATTTCACGTCAGTTACTTCAACTTATCATGGGAAAAAAGGTCTCTTTTTCCATTTCATTTCCTCTCGCTCACCTCGAGTTTAAAGCTCTTCATACAAATTCACACATGATGGAATTTTCTCAAATAAATTGCAATTAATTTCATCAAATCGAGGTGTTTTCACAGAGGAAAGGGACAAAAGAGAAATTGAGAGAGTGAAAATAGGGTCAAGGAGCAGTCATTTACCTTCCCAGCGCATATATGAGAAAAGCAATGAGTATTTGTTAAGAAAGGAGTTCACTTAACTTAAACTTCCACCCACCCACGCACGAATGGTAAATTTAGAAAATTATTCTTGACCATCAATTCCAAGAACGACCCTCAAATCTGTGACTTTCATGGCCAGAGTGAAAATTCCATTTGGACCATTTGCAAATTGCTGCCTGAAAGCGGATATTCCCTTTGAAGAGAAAACTCAAATCTCAAGTCCCTCGTGTTGGCTACATTTCCATCCCCCATTTTCTAACAGGTCCTTTCTCTGCACGCACATTCCTCCAAAATTCACTCAACCTGCGACACTCAATACCCATCCATATGGCAGTGTGTGTCCCTTAATTTTACAATATGTAAATCAGGCATCATTAGGCGTTCAAATTTGTACAATAGACGCTGTGTATAAATTAGAATTTATGGTGAATTGTAGGGACGAAAATCCTCCCATTAAACAATTACGCTGAGCACGCAAAGGTAATGATCCTAATGATGCTCATTTTCAATTACAGACGACCTCGTGAGCCAAAGACCCTTACAAAATTCAATACGCATTTCGTCTGAAGCTCGGAATTAATGAGCAAAAGAGTCATATTGAAAATTCGAGAGGTTTCCACGAGAGACAGCGTCAGATCTGTGGCAAAATATGGCAATAAACAAGAATTAAACACACAGTCTTTAGGACAACAAGAGTGGTCCCTAATTAACGAAGGCAGGTGGGTGTATCGTGCATTTGCTCGCCCAGAAACACACCAATTTTCATATCCTCCATCCTGACACTCAACGGATTTACGCTCAAGGCCTAATTCACTTTGCCCACAGAGTTGCTCTTGTCGCAACACCAGAACGAGTCAACAGCACCGAATCTATGATTCTAGAGCTTGACAACTCCGTTTCGGTACTAAAGGCGAAGCTCTTGTTTGTCTGCAGAACATGTGGGAATCACAATTAATCAAATTGAGCACTCACCATCATCCATTATGGCCGTGGTAACATTTTTTCCCGTGATGCCCTGATCCCAGGCCGCCTGGACATTGAGGTCCAGCCTCACTTTCCCACCGTTCTGCCCTGTATTCCGCAGGTACCATTGCAGCGGAAAGTAGGGGTCTGTGGGAGCTTTTCCCGTCGGCGCCACCACAGGTTTCCCGACAATCGATGGAATTGCGGGACGCAATCCTCGCTTCACACGCACAAATCCAATCTGCTGAACGGCACTGTGAATCTGCAAAGAGCCCAAGAAATACATATCACTTAGCATTATTGCATGAAGCACGTAAGCACAGATCGCTTTGCTAAAATCATGGCCATCGGAGAGACTATGAGCACAACATCCTTTCCACCTACACAGCGGCGAAAGTGCAAAACAATTTAAAATCAATTCATGGTGATAAGTTTATGCAAAGTGGGACGATTTTCTCCTCATGGTTACAATATTTTCACACCATATGATCTAAAGTGCCAAATATTCTTCTCACATTCTGTGCGTACGATCAAAATTCCTTTCGCGATGCCACATTTATGAATATTTGAAAAGAAATCATTTACACAAGCATTTAATGTGACATTTTTTGACTGGGTGAAATACAATTTATGTGAGAATTTTTTCATGATAAATTCTTATTCGCAGCATCAAGTGCCACGGAATCACGGTTGGAATAAGTCATTTTGTCAGAGAAATACAGCACTGATTGAAGAAAGAGTGACAAGAATACACAATGCAATCATGTAAAAGGTCCTCGTAAAAGGTATATAGATTGTATACAAGGACAGAATATTACATATGCTTCCCTTATCAGAGAGCTTTCATCACAAGAGACACAATTATCCTGAAACTATTAACTTTGATGCCACAGTAGATAGCACAACACATGCTCTAACAATATGTTTTAACCTCCTTTCACAACCACACACTCTCGCGGGAAATCCTTCAGGCATCGCGGGAGTTTATTGAAATATCCTCCAACATCATCGAGCGGCGAGAGAAGTGACGGACAAGGGAAAAATGGTTGCAGAATGAGGAAAAATCCTCATCATTTCCTCTGCACACCCCACAAGTTCCCCACCCCAAAACCGGGAAAAGCGGCATGGGTGGAAATGAGTGGTAAATGTAGCAGAAAAAGTGTCATGCAATTTCTGGAGCAAGTGTGTAGGCATAAATTCATGCCATCATCGTATCTTGGTGAAATTCCTCTCGCCGCAGACGCTTCATTATTTTCTCATTTTCACCAGAAGAAATTTAATAAAATTTATTTACTCTCGCCCACCCAGAGTCAAGTGAAATGGGACTTGACGTGTTTCTTTTCATGCGAAGATAGAGAAAAAGGCATGTGGTTTCTCTCTTCATGGATGCTTGAATTCTTTTTTTTTCTTGTGCAAAAAGAAAATTAACACTGACACATTTCATACATGAATGAATCCCACCGCCGGCATTTTATATTCATTTTCTATATTCTTTAACGAATTGACATTGAAAAAATGCCCACGAACAGCATGAGATTTGCCTTGAAATCCTTGGAAAAATCCTTGAAAAAATCCCTCAAAATCAGAATTCATCGCATTTTTTACTGTCACCTCGTGCTGTGTGCCAACAAAAAAGTAAGACATTGTGGGTGGATCTTCACGACGACCGTAATAAATTCCCAACCAATATATCTCATCTCGTGCCACAGTGAAGAAAAAGTTATTTAACATCCCAAGCAGTATATTTAGTCATATCTGTTGACAAAAGTAAATAATTTCTATATCCTTTCCCCGCAGGGTGAAAGAAAAGTGTTCTGTGTGAAAAATTTGGGACAAATGGAAAAGAAAAAAAATGAAGGAAGAGTGAGACAGTGAAATGGGATAAAAGTTGACGGGTGGAGAAATTAATTTTCGTCCAAAATAAAGAAGAAAATTAGAGAGACAAGAAGAAAACCGTATTCTTTTTCCACCCATTTTTCCATTCTCATTTCATTGGGTCGCTTATTAAATTATCCTCTGTGTGGAATTGCTCTTGATTTCTACCATCTTTTCACTCAAAACTTGAATATCATGTTCAGCCAGAAGAGAATTATGATAGAATTTCACCAAACATAAAACTTTAACAATTGTTTTTGATGAAAAGCTCCAGCTCAAATGGCCAACGCATTTTCATTCAGCATTTTCCCAACCCAGTGAATTCCAATTTTCAATTCAATCAACAAACACTCTGCACTCTATTCACTATTTTCAATTTCAATTTAATTTCCATGTAAAACCTGATTGGCTTCCCAATGAAATGCAAATTAACTCACTTTCAACACCAAATTGTTTTGTTCCGCTTCACCAGCGGAAAATTCATTTCAACTATAAATAATATCCTTTCATAAAATTCCACTGATTTGAACTCTGCACTCCCTTCTGTTTCCCTGCCATTCGCACTATTAATTCCCAACAATAATAGATAGTGTATCGCATAGAGTTGATGTTTTCACAAAGATTCGTATAATGTGAAAAGTGTTCAGAGAAATAACTGGCTTTATCACAAAACCACAGAGATACAATTCACCATTTATCACATGATATTATCGCAAAGGAAAACAGTCTGGGCGTTCAAAGAGAAGACAAAGCATCAATCATCCCTTATGTCCCACTGCCATACATATTGTATTTCACTCACATGCAAAGCATCACGCTGAGAAGCCACGCAACAATCCAATTTTCCTAAAGTTTAAAAGGTGCCAACACGTCCAAAAAGGGAATCGGCCTCTTGAATTTCAATCAAAATGGCAACAGAGTAAAGTTTTCACGGGTCCCCAACGCGCAATATACCAAATTATTCAGGGGATGAAAAAGTTAGGCAACTTTCTCATCCGACCATCACTCATTAATCGTGCCAATGATTGTGAAATATTCACAAAATGATAGAATGAGAAATTATGAAGATTTTATTTTCAAATTTGTACTCGGAAATCGATTAAAATCAGTTAAATTTAACAGTCATCGAGTTATTTGAAATAATAAGGGTGGATTTGATGCATATAAATCGCTTTTTAACTTCCTTCTCTTCTCATAATTATGCATTTATGTTTCTGCAGGGTGAAAAACCGAAGTAAGAACTTTTAAATATTCTGCAGCGGATGCAAAAGCAACGAAGCATTTCCTTGTGAATATGCAATCGATTTTACATAGCTTTATTCATTGGCTCAACATTGGTTTATTCTCTTCTCTCGTGCTTTTTATTCATCAAATTCAAAAACGCGTCATGACGCAAGTATGAAAAGTTTTAGAGAAAGAACTTTCACAACTCACTTTTCCATCCATACGGAAAACACCCGAAAGCACTCCATCATCAATTGGCCATTACCATGTTACAACTAAGGCTAACATCTCCATTTGCGCAATATCTTACACATGCAATATTCCGGCGAGAAAAGCGTTAGGGAACTGGCAAAAAAAAACTTTATGAGAAAGTTAAACAAGTGACGCAAGTTTCGCCCAGGCAAAAAGCTCTGACAAATGATACAAGAAATGAACTGAAAGTTTTTCCCTCTCTCGGGTACGGAAAGAGAAGTCTCCTTTTCCAGGAAGAAAGTTGATTGAAAAGCTCATCTCTTTGTAGCAATATTCATTTTGCGTGAACCAAAAATTCAACCGCATCGACGAGGAAAATTCAATTTACCTCAAAGTCAATTACACGGTAAGCTTTCGAGAAAGCTCCTCTCTTCCCCCATCCCCCCAACTATATGGCGTCAATAATGGAATTAGTAAAAAATTTCCACAACATTCAAAAGCAACGTACGCAAAACTCCCTCAACAGGACAAACATGTTCAATTGAGTTTACGAAAATTGATCAAATTTAGTGAGATGAGAAAATTTACATCGAAAATTTATGTATGGAAAATCTGTGCTGCGGAGCAAATACCCAGTCAATTTGACCACCCACACAACTCCTGCATGTCCTTCATCTGCACTCTCATTCATTATGGATATCCTGTTAAAATGGAGATGCGCTCTGAAAATTTATAGGTAAAAAAAAGCTGATTGCACGGAGAAGAGCATGACCTTTTTCATCATATTCTCCTAAAGCTCTCGAGAATTTCATAGAATTTTGACTGATAAAATGAAAACTCTGCTGGAATTCCACAAGCAATAACAACCTCTGAAGCACGCAAAAAAGCCAACATTATATTCCCTGGGTATAAAGGAAATTCTTTACAACTCGCAAGATGGCTGTTTGTCCGCAAGGGCATAAAAGACAGTTATGAAATTAACAGATTAATAAAAAAAAATTGAAAAACTTCACCATAGCGTCTCACCTTTGGAAAGAATGTTGGAGAACTCGTGTAAAATTTATACACGAGGAGAAAAAACCAGGAATTTCTTCTTACAACTTTCCTTGGGACTTAAGTTCACGGTATAACTAACGTTATTTTAATCATTATCACTCTTCTCATACTTTCTTGGAGAGTTTCCTCGAGGAAAAAAATGTCATAAAATTCATTTCTTGCCATTTTCCTCTCAAGTTTCATATAAGAAAAACCACTTGAGATCAACTTTTGATATTAATCATTCGAAATTGACATTTTCCAAATGAACGTTGCTAAACGAAAACTATAATCTTAGACTTGTGCATCTGGAGAATAAAATTAAAGCTCCATTCATCAATCTCTTTCTATACAAATGAATGCTTTTCATGTCTAATTAGATTACTTAGTTGAGAAAATTTCTGGGAATGCAGAGCCTGGAATCTGTTTTGCGCTGTGCCTTAATCATATATATTTTTCTACATCTTGCGTTCCGAGAAAAGCTGATCTAAATTTAACCAATTTCTCAATGCGTGGGAGGATGGAAACAAAAGGCATAAAATCAAATTTTATTCACGGTACTTTCCATCTGAAACAGATACTTTTTTGGCAAATTAGGAAAGGAGCTGAAAAGCCGCCATAGAAAGTCATAAAAGTGAAAGAAAGCCGCTTCAATACGGGGTTATAAAACTTTTCCCGTGTCCCTTGAAAAAGCATCCATAACTTTTTCAATCATTCTCTTTTTTGCCAGATCGCCAAAAATAAGTGACACGCCTTGAAAAAAAAATCATTGCATTCTGCAAAAACGCAAAAACAATGCAAGAAGTCAGCGCAGAATTAATGTGTGGACGGCAATAAATTCGTGCCAGACAATTGAGAGGCATCTCTGAAATCATGCCAAATATTTGATTAAATTTACATGCTATAAAATGGACATAATGGTGGTGTGTACAAGGGAATAGCGGGGATGAGCCACGGAATTGTCCAAAATAATTGCATTGTCTCGTTTCTTGTTATAGTGATATATATTATTTGCAAGACTCTCTCTCTCTCCCCGCATTCATGCTGGTCACACTGCAGCGGGTCTGTGTGATAAATTATATTGAAAGACTTACCAGAGGATCTCGCTTCAGAACACGGGAATGTGTAATGCTCCGTCGGGATCTGGCATGAGGCAGCGATCGATGCTTGAAATGAAATTCCGTTCCGGCGCTCCCAGCCAGCTGTGAGGGATGAGAGAAGATATATTAGCCATTATGTTGTTGTGTAAAAACCATTTGCCTCACATAAGTCACATGACTGCAAAAGAGCGCGTCTCTTGGAAGAAATGTGCAAATGACACGTGTCTTCTGGAGCTGTTATATGCATGAGTGGCCAAGGGAATTTTGCCACCCACTCATCCCGTCACGACGGGATGAGCACAATCTGATCAATTTAGCGTGAATCAGAAGAGTGCATGCACTAAGTGAATGTCACCCTTTCACCTGCCGTCAAAGCGCATTTTCCCGCCGCATTGCATTTTAATAAAACCAATTGGAGCATGAAATTCTCCCCTATTTATACGCAATGATCATATAGCATTACTGCTAAGATTGCAGTCGAACATTGAGAGCTTTTCTCACACACATACACACGCGCGAAATTCCTCCATTTAAGAGACAGAATAGACGCGCTTAATGTTGAATATTTCCAACATAACAATGCCCACCCACAATAAAATCACGGTGAGACAATGAAATTTTCATTGCTCATGCAAATTTACGTTCTTCTGCCCACAAAAGAGGGGATAAATTAATGATAAGCACAGTGGAACGCTTTTACGACAATTTGGCAGTGAAGAATGGCGTGGACAAAAGAAAGGCACCCAAAACGGAAGGAAACTTTTTCTCCAGACTCAAATTAACACTTTGGCCTTTCAGTCAACGGCGTGAGATATTAATCCACTGAGGATGGGAATTAATTACAACCCAGTTTCGCTACATAAGTTTTCTTATCAGAAGAATTGATGTACAAAATCACTTGTTCCAAAGCGTTTTTTTAAAGTTCAATTTATCCAGCCAGAGACAAGACGAAATAATTTTGCTGTCAGAAAAATGAAATATTCCCTTTCAAGGGAACGTGAGTAATTGCCAGAATATTCATCACAATTTCAATGGGGAAAATGATCAGACTCGCAGTTTCATTATCATAGAGAGGAAAGTGAAATTCTCGCATGATTAACTCCTCGCCATGGCTCGTCGAATATCACTCCATTTGTCATCACTTCCATCAGCGTGATGGATCTTTTTCCAGCAGAATCACCGTCGAAAAGAGAGGAGTTGTGAGGAAGAAAAAGGTCAAAGGTTCTCACACTCTGTCAACTTCCCGCCCGGATTTCACACCCAAATTAGCCACCATACACATTTTCCTCCCGCTCATCCCAATTCTGACTGGAGATATTTTCTTTAAGAATATATTTTTGTCCAATGTAATGATAATTGTGATGAGTATATTTTATCTAATTTCGTAACATTGGACTCAATGAAACTCCTCCATAAATTAGATCATGCGGCAATTCCAGCAATGCCACGTAATTGCCTCAACCTACAGTTGGAGAAATTTCCCTTTAATACAATTACAGCGGAAGTGCGGTACTAAAAGATAACGAAGAAAACTTGTCGCGCTTCTCAATGTGAATTCCCACTGTCACGCTCTGCAGATGCTTTAGAAGCAGGTAAATTCTGCTACGAATACAGACTCTTGTTCACCCCCCGTCTTTTCGACAGAATATCGCGAACATCCCTTCAATCCCTCTATTGTCTTCAATCATAATACAAATTTCCCCCCACAATATTCTCAGCAATAAATGTCACGACTTTCGGTATTACGTGCGCGTTCTCCGAAAAGAAAAATATACCCCGACTTTTGGGAAAGGCACGAAACACTCAACAAAAACAGAAGTGCGTTTGTGAAGGGAAGCAATAGCCTCGAAAGTTCAAAAGCACGTAGACAGACAGTTTATTTGCTCCGAATGTGATTCTCTGCATACATTTTCCACCCATCTTCGCTGCTTTATTCGAGCACTCCTTTGGCCAGGATAATCCCATATGGGACACCAAGACATCACATAATCCCGAGACTTGTGTCTCACCACGCGACAAAATGCCACTCAAACGCTTACATAGATTGTGGGAAAATGGATGTGCAACGCTTAAGACTGTGGCATTTCAGGATGGCCTGAGAAATCTCCGTCCACCCTTTTTGCACCAAAAAAAAAACACCCGCCACGAAAATAGAATAGAAAAACAGCCCCCATCGGACCACCTGTGCAGAGGGGCGACTTTCAATCTTCTCAGGGACAAGTCAATCATTCTCCGCTGACACTCGCCTCACGCATTCACCCCACGGCCTCACGCATCGTCAGCAAATATTCCAAATATATGTGTGCGACGTCCTAGCCATTATGCAAATTTAATTTTAGTTTTCGGCAGTCTATTTTGGTCATGGCTTTCACCCTTGAATTCGCCGCGCTGGAGATCATATGACTGCGAACCATATCAAGGCCATGGCAAGAATTATGGCATGATTACACACCAAAACACACAACTACACCATCCATTTTATCTACTGCCGCCAAATTTCACCACAATTGGCGTCGGTGGCATAAATTTTCGCCGCAAAATGATCTCCAAACACAGCGTAAATAGCGACTTAAAGTAATATGTTTGGATGACAAAATATTTCCATCTCTAAAGCTTAGAATTTTTAATTTAACGCATTTATTCTCTTTAATTTAACCTTGTATGTCTAAGCATTCATCCACAAACACCACATTAAAATGCATTAAAGGATATAAGAAAACATGTGGAAGCACTTTCTCTCCACATGTGAGAAAACATGCGTATATTTCTCTGCTAATTCCCAATCGATTTTCCTCTTTAGACATTTATTTGTATAGCTCTTTTCAAAGTTTTCTCGCACAATTGGGCTTTTAAAAGAAACCCCTGTGTTTTATGTGCATAAAGTAAATTGAAATTAAAATACGTAATTTTGCTTGAGAACTTGAGTGTTTGTGGCAATTAAGATGCTTTTCCTTTATGCTCCATTTAGTATCAAGGCTTCCAACACCTCAGAAATGCCTCAGCATGCAAGAGGAAAATTGCAAGAACATTTAAGACAGAATATACATTATGTATCAGGTGTCAGAAGCCCAATTAAGACCTAGAGAGGTGTGCTGGTGCATAATGAGAGCCTGGAACTCATTCTAGTTAATAGATACTCGGTGACCTAAATCCCACCATCATGAGAGCCACTCAATTGCACTTCAAGACTGTCAAGCTAAAACACCTTGTCGAAAATTTCATTGGGAGAACTTCATCTTGAGCTCAAAGTGTCAAGTTGTCTCGCCTTTCTGACTCTCTGAGTTAAAATACAATTTAGAAACTATTGATTTTCAATATGGTGACTGGAAAAATTTATTTCTACCCTCTCACGCCATATGTTGTTGAGAAAAGATTGCGAAAACGGGCATAAAACGACTCATATGTATAATGTATTCATCGTGAATATGAAAATCATGTTTGAGGAATTTTATGGAGCATCACTTCTGAAAGTTTACTTTACCACCAGCAGAATAATCGACATCAATATACATGTAAATACACGTCCTTAAAAAAATCTCGCATGAGAGTTTCTTCAGAAACATGCTGCAAAACGACGAAGAGGACAGAAGAATTCACTGAATCGATATTGTGTAGTTATTCATTAAGTAGTATTTATTCCTTCAAACTTGTCTCCCAATGAATAAAAAATATAATATTCCATTTCCTGTGAATCCTCTTAAAGTATTTCTCCAAGTGTATCTTTTAACAGTAGAAAAACGTCACACGAAAGAGGATTACTTTCACAGTAATTGCAAATTTTATTCCTCAATTTCCTCAATGCTCTTTTTATCATATTTTCCCTCATTCTCAATGTCTTCGACATAGACACCACCCAATTCTTCCATCCCTTCATTTTCGTGCGCCTTTCACGCCCAGCAATAAAACCCAATTTTATGATTGAAGCAAATTTAATTAACTTGCGAGATTTTCCACGACATCTTCACGGTCAACAGGAATGGCGCGCGATGCGGAGACAAAATATCTACACGCGATAAATCACATTGAAATACAATATCGTCATTGGAAAATCTCCTCTCCCACTCACACTGCCGGGGGTTGCAAGGGAACGGGCTGGTGGACGAATGGGGAAAATGGTGCTGATGGAGTGGCTTGACTTAATGGCTTCTGCAGTTCACACAACATGAGCTTCCATTAACAGACAAAAATCTTAATAGCCCCTAAGTTTCCTAATGGAGAAAACTTATACGACTGGAGAATTGCACTGTGCTGGCGTTGCAAAGTGCCTCACCATGCGGATTTTCACCACCAACTCATGCCCCACCCTTTTGGCCACTTAACTTCAGATGCACTCTCTGTATTTGCTGCGACGAGGACATAAATTGGCGAATACTGCAAGGGAGTGTGTATATATGATCTCAGTGACTCGAAAGGCCCTTCTGAATTACTGCGGAAATTGAAAAGTATCCACAGTGGAGAAGAGGAAATGCAACTGTTACAGCAAAACTCTGTCCTCTGCACAGCCGACAGAGTTATGAAGATATTAGATGGTAGATAAATATCATAATTACTTACATAATGTCCAGTGAATTATCAATAAAAACTGCGAATTACAGCAGTACTCAAGACTGAATTTATTTACTTATACATTCGCATCAATGAAGTCATAAAGTTCAAGTGTAATGAAGTTGTTCATGGAGCGTTATTGTAATGTTTCAATGTTCTCAAATTGTGTGACAGTCCAGCGTAGGCGGAAGATCTTAATCACCCAGTGAAATTCATGTGAGGAAACACACAAGACAAGAAGTGCGGAGAAATCCTCGAGTGAGAAATTTACAATCTGTCTGTTAAGCATCTCTGAGCCTTAAGCATTTTGCTTGCCAAAAATGTCAAGAAGCTTACATCATAAAAGTGTGTCTGTAACAATAAATTCTCCTTCATCCCTTTTTGCCTTCATGTTTGCATATCAAGTCAAACATTATATAGATTGCTTGAAAAGATCCTTTTGTGCCACATATCCCGACTCACTCTGAAAAAAAAGAGAGGAAGATTGCGTTTTTGGCATCATATTTGACTCGCTTCTTGTGCACTCAGTTGGCATTTTGTAAATAAACCAGAACCCA